TTGGAGCATTAATTAAAAATGATGGGAGCCCAACTTTACACATATGAAGTAGATGTTTTATATATATAAACGCGAAAATTAATGAGTAAAAGTCTCTAGGGACTGAGGTTGTGTAGGCTGCGCAGTAGTTTCAAAAAAACTTTGATTTTCCCATCTCTGTCGGGATTTTGACCCGCACCCCTTTATATGGAGCCAGAAGTATTGTTTTCTTGTGCCTTAATATAGTATATTGTTGTAGTTCAGTCTTCTGTTGTTGCTAATCAGAGGATTGTTAAAAAGAGTTTGATATATGATGACATTTTTGTTACAACTATCCATTTTATGCTAGAGATTGATTCACGGGTTTTGTATTGAAATCAATAACTCCAACACAATAGCTGTTCATAAGATTTACTGCCCTACGATCTTAACAGCAATCTGAAGATGGTGAATGGGTTCAAACCATCGAGCATGAGGAACGGCATTCTGTCATGAACCCTCAACATCATCTCCACCATTATTCGCCCATTCAGAGAGAACTCCCCTTGGGTTCGATAACTGGTATCCGTAGACAAAATCGTCATTGTCCACTGTTGAATTCTGTTCACATCTCGACGCAACCACCGCTCTCTTTCACAAATCTTCATCTTCTAGTAAATCCCCTGCGGCTCTTAATACAATCGATTGCATTTTCAATAGATGGGTTTAGGTAAAAGCTATGATAGGACTCAAAATCGAGACCATGTTTACAATGTGCAAGCTTGATTCCATTCTTACTGATAGCTTGGGCGTTTTATTGATTCGTTGCGTAAAAGAAAGCATGATAGGTACTATCCATCGTATTAGCATCAGCACTTTCGTATTGCTACTTAATATCCAGTAGTGATGTCGAGGCAAACATTTTTGGCTCACCCTTTCTATTATAACTGATCCACTGGTTGCGTGGAAATTGTGTATTATAGAAAATATCTTCGAAACTCAATTGAGAGAAGGAACCCACGGATTGTGAATCCATTCAAATAATCAATGATACAAAATTTGCTTGAACCCAGATGATATCATCACACACACTATTACAGAGTTCGTTTGCGGCTTCCTCTGTAAGACCCACTTCTCAAGTAATATTTTATCTTCACCTGATGCTATACCACTTACACCACTTCCCTCGATGCCAATGAAGATTGTTGGAGCCAACCGCTGGCGTTCTTCTAGAAAATCGAACATAAGTTCAGCATTTGTCCTGATGTCAAGATGTACCTCCCCCTCTAAAAGGGATCTAACAAGACTTTCTTGACAGCCGCAGTCAACAAAATAGGCGGTGATCTCAGAAAGAAGGGGGTTAATAGCACTATTTGAATCTTCAGGTAATGTGCTTCATGTACATTTGATGGATTATAACCATGCGAAGACATGCTTGGATCATTTGGTTTTTAAAGTCGTCATGTTAATATTATATGGAATGTTTATATAAAAGGAACCTAATATTAACCTTTAAAGACATTAGATTTAAATTAAGGAGCATCCATAATTTGCGTTAAACCAGTATTTTTATGGGATTTTAGAGATAATACCATGTGACATTAATTTAGAGGTTCCTATTCTATACAATACAGTACTGGCTTAACGTAAATTATGGATGCCACCATTAATCAAAAAGCTTTTAAATTTACTGAATTTTGATTGGTCGAATTTCTGTAATCTGATTGGTTGTTTAACAAAAAAGATTTCCATGCACTCTAAAACACATGAGTTACCTGTAGTGATCTTGGCCGAGCATAATTTTTCGACTATGCCCAAGCCGATAAATTTTATCGGCTTAGTCGGCTTAGTCGGCTTAGTCGAACATACAGTACTATTTAATTCTGTTCTTTAATCTGGAATTTATCTGGAATTTATCGGAATTTACAAAAATTTTTGGTCTCGTATTTAGATTCATTCATGTTCTACACCGGAAATTTTCGTAATGGTATCTTTTGATTATTGTTATGGGTAAATCCGACCCTAGGACCATGAGGAATAAACGTGTAATGACCCCCGAAATGCACCATGAAAACCGTCGTACCACGATGCCGCGACCCAGGATAAATCAGGTTCTCCATTAAGTGACAGCGCCGATCCCATTGAAGAAAAGCCACACGCCCGATTTGGAATACATCTGTCAGTAACATTACCTTGACAGGTAAAGTCTTTGACCGTGTTAATGCGTCGTCATATGCTAGGTTGTGTGTCATTGTAGGAGGATTGAAAACTCAAGGAAAAATTTCAAAGTAATGATGGATGGGTTGTAAGAAAAAGAGAAAAGTGTTAGCAAATATGGATAAACAGTTTATGTCAATGAGAAAAAGAGTGTTCAAGTTATATTTGAAATTCTCTTCTTTTTCTCTTGTAATTCTCTATAAATATGGTTCAAATTTCTCTCTTGTAAAATAACAGGGAATATTGAATTACCTTTAAACAGAATATTGCATCACCTTTAGATTATAGACTCATCCTAAATAGATTATAATTAATAAAAATTCTAATTTGTTATAAATAAATAAATAAATAAAACAATATGCTTCTTAACCTGTTTACATTAACATCTGAATTTTTTTGTAACATTTTCAAAAGTTATTTTTGACTTATATTAAAGCAAAACTGTCTTACCTGTTTGTAAATAATGTTACATGATGTTAATGTTTTTAAAATGTTAATTTGTTATATTACTTCTTGACCTAATGATGTTATTTCTAACCTGTCAACTCATATCACTATATAAAATCTATTAGTTGATTTTAAAAAAATTGACTAGTTAAACTGATAATTTGGTTTAGCTAATTTTTTTTGCTATTGGCCAAAATTATTAGTTATCTAGGTACTGATTTATATTAGTCAATTTGACAAATTTCTAAATATAAGGTTCTTTTATAATTCAAAATTAATAATTAGTTTTTAAATTTTGAATAAAACAATATATATATGTAATTAGATTGTTCTGTAAATAGAATTATTAACTGATTTGTAAATTCAAAGTTACATTGAAGTGATTACTAAAGATTACTATCTTATTAAAATTTTTATCATAATAATATCAAACTCATAAAGATTAGCAACTAGTATAAATTTTTAATTAAAAAAACTTCTAGCATAATATAGATTAGTTTCAAGCAGATTATAAGATTTTAAGGTTATTTTTTCTTCATAAATTATTAATTAAAGTTATTTTATATAAAATTTTAAAATTATTTATTAAAAAATAGTAACAAACATATTTAAATAAGTAGAATTATATTAGTCACAAGATTAATACTAAAACTTATATATAAACTTTTGAATTTTGAAAAGTTTTATTATTATTTTTTAATAAGTATTATTATAAATTACTTAAATAATTTTAATTAGTGACTTATAAAACAAAAATAATTTTAAAATCTTATAATCTATTTGGGACTGATTGGTTAATTAGTTTTATTTTAAAAATGTTGTTTAATAATAATAATAATAATACTTATAATAATAATAATACTTATAATAATAATAATACTTATAATAATAATAATAATAATAATAACAAAAACAAATTAACCCAACAATTAACAATCTCTTTTTAACAATCATCTGGATCAAACTTTCCAAAATGCCAAACTACAGAAAAAGGATATAGTTAATATATTAAACGTTATGAAAACTTTTCTAAAACACTGAGTATGCATAGTGAAAATTGAAATAGAGTTAAAAAAAAAGTTATCACTTTGTGATAATTATTTAAAGAAGCTCTAGAACTATAAAAAAAGTGATTGGTAAAATTCAAAAGTCTTTCATAAAGTAAACAACAGCATTAGATATATTATTTCTATATAACTGTAAAATTTACAAGAAACTTTTAGAAATGTTAAGTATTCACAAAAGTTATAATTTGGTTTATCTTACATCTTCTCTTTTTTTCAAAAAAAATTTATAAAAAGTGAGTAATTCAGTTTACCCTTTTCAAAAAATTGATATATAAAATATCAAAACAGTCAGCAGTGTTTATTTTTTAATTAGGATTATATAAATAATAGAGCAATACAAACATGATTCATACATGTGTCTCAAACTGCTGAAACTTCATAAAATACTACTTCTAAACTAACTAATAATTTATGCCAATTTTCTATATTCAAGTTGAAGTTTTATTCTATATAGTTTTTGTTAAATATTTTAAATAAATAGAAAAATAATAGAGTTAATTCTATTTAGTATGGTTTATAATTTTTAAAGTCTAATACAGGCTAATAATTATGACCATCTGATAGTTATGTAACAAGAGTCACATATACTTTTTTTTTATTTTTCTTTATTTTTTTATTTTTTGTATTATATCTTTTATTATCTTTTTTTATATTTTAGTATTTTTTTTTATATAAGTTTTTTTTAGTTTTTGTTTACTTCTTTATGAGAAGATGTTATCAGATTGATAACATCCTATTATAAAGTAGTGATTAGATGCAGCCTCTGGCATACTCTAATTTCTTATAAAGTTAAATAATCAATATAGATAGATCATTTATAGAACTTATTAAAATATCTATAAGATGTTAGGCCAAAAAATTATACAAAATTTTGTACATATATATGTAAAAAATTATAATAAAGATGAATCAACAAGACTGCTCAAGTAAAGAAAAAATAATAATAATAATAATAATAATAATAATAAAATATTCTTTTTGATAATTACTTGAATTAAATTATATTAAAAACAAGTAAAAAACTTAAGATCTTTATTTGATGTTGTTTTTGATCCTGTATAAAACAGATTTGTTGTTAACAAAGTCTATAAGATATACTGAATTACAAATTTAATTTGAATCAGTTTATATTAGAATTAAATTTTTTTATTAGTAGACTCTCTGACATATTTAACATTCAAACTAGAAAATTTATTCTAAAAACAAATATAATAAATCTTAACTAGAATAATAAAAACTAAATCTTAAGATGAATTTTTGAAAATATATATTTTTTTTTATTTTTGTTAAGATTATAATTATTAGCAACTATTGTCTTTATTGTATTTTAATTATAATTATATAACTTGTACAAGGTGAGTTTATAACTAGTCATATGTATAACTTTTGGTTGTTTATTTAAGTAGTCTGCTTATATAACAGGTTCTACACTAATTACCATATCTGCAATCTACTAGAAGATTACCTATTTAAATACTCTGATCTTTATATTTATATCAACAAATAATATACAAATTCTCATATACTAAAGTGTTGTCTAATCTAACCTTGACCTTCTTGTCTGTATATCTGTCAGACCATTACATATTTTAGAGTACATTACCTGACTATAGGTCTTTAGAGTGAAAATACATTCTTTAATTTAATAATTCCTAAATAATCATTACTAAAAAATTTCTTTTTTATCTTTTTTCAAAAAATATTTAATAAAAAGTAAGCAATTTGACTTATCATATTAATATTGATATTATTAATTCTTCTGAATTAGAATTATTTATTAGTTCTATTTTGAAATAACCTATATTGTAGATAAAACATAAGTACATATGTCTTGAAACAAAATATAATAATGAGACAAAATTAGAGGTTTTCAACAAAAGATAAGTTAATTGATCAAAAATATGACAAGTATCAATATATAAAATTTAATAAAATATATGATAAGTTAAATATAAAGTTGAATCCAGTAACAAGAAGTCAGAACATCTAGTATATAAAAAATTCTTTAGTAATTTAGATTTGATTTAACTGTTTTTCTTAAATATGTTAATTAGATAAAGATAAAGTAAAGATTACTATATTTAGTAATATATGATTTTTAACAGACTAACACAACCTTTATAATTGCATGATCATTTGTTTGACTTTTTGTCAACAATTCCCTCTCCTTTTTATTTTTTAATATTTAATTTTTATTTTTTATATATATCTCTTATACATAGTTTTTTAATACATTTTTCTTTTCAATAAGAAACTCTTTACTTTTCTATGAATGAATGGTATCAGATTAATGCTGTTCAATTGTAAAGTGACAGACAGACAAGCATGATCCAGACTGTAGCAGGTCTAATGTGGCAGGTTGCTTGTAAGTGCCAAGTAAGATAACTACGTGATGATAGCACAAGAGTTGAATAAAATTATATTTGTTTTTGTTTATACTGAGCTTTTATAAATAAACTCCTAGCTGGTGACTATCGTGACTGCCAAAGGTAAAAAAAATAAAATAATAATAATATTTTAAATATTACAGATTAAAGTCAGTTTAATGAATATCAGATAAATCGGATTAATATCTGAAGGAAATCTAGTATACCAGGTAATATCTTGAATATGTTCTTAAAGATTTCGATGGTTACAGTTAAAATTCTTAGGTGTAAGGTTACTAGGTAGTTCATAAATTTCTTTTATACTGTTCAACTAAGTTACGAAAAAAACATCCTCGAATTTTTATTATTATCTAGCCCATCAAATGGAATACATATTTAATTTCATTTTGTATTTCGCCCATACTATTCCTCTGTACTCCTTCATGTTAATACTAACAATACTTTCACTAGTTTCGTTTTGCCACCAACTTGTACTCAACACTAGATATGTATTTTACTCATTATTTCCTTTGAGAACAAGGCAGACCATTTATTTATTTTCTTTCATGCGTGAATTAAAATAAACTCCGCATAAAATCCCACTTTAAATTTTGTAGATCGTAGCTCATATAAAATTCATATTGTAAACCGTGATAATTAGAATGAATGATAACTATCAGTTTCTATCCATATCGATTTTTTATCGTGATAATTTTTATTTTTATTGTATACATGATAACTATTGATTTTTATCTATATTACCGTATTAAGTTTTATCATATGCATTATAGCTATCTATTTCGATTTCTTGTTGAATCGCAATCAATACTTATCAGTTTGAAAATGGTCTTGTAATACCGAAATTTAATACGTATAAGGATAAACTAAACGCATAAAAATGGAAATTCAAAGTTAGAATGTTAGTTTTAAGAGCTATAGAAGCCAACTGATATTTGTTATATGTAAATTTTTATTCACAAAGGACACTTTAAACGTTAATTTTCGAGTATTTTCGCATTTTTTTTTTTACTCTTTTATGCACTTCTTACTAGAGATGTTAACAGTCCAGTCTGGTTCAGTCAGGTTAATTTTATCCAAGTCTGGTCGGGTCTATTATGGTCTTTGGTCTTAAGACTTTACTAGTCCAGACCAGTCCAGTTTAAGACTTAGAGTAGACCTATTTTTGGGAGGTTCAGACTGGTGGTCTTAAGATTAACTGTGGCCTATTAGTCTAAGACAGACCAGACCATATAACATCCCTACTTCTTACATGCGTTTTATCTTTTTTATGAGTTGTATTACTCGCAAAAATAAGTGATCAACAAATCACGAAATTAGGTAATCAAAGGAGGGTTAGTATCACATATATTTGTACATTGATCGCCCATAGAATGGCTATTTTTCCGATAATTTTCCGAACTCAATTATGGAAGCAAAGGCGCAATGATAACACGATAATATACGAAACTTTCTAGTTAAGTGAATAAAAGATTTTATGATAGATGTAGCAGGATTTAAAAGATGAAGCCGTAAAATATTGAAACTTTTTTTTTTTTATTCATATACCAGTAGTAAAAAATAAGAAAAAACTATAATATATACAAAATTAATTTTTTCAACTTTGATATCTAGTATCATTGACTATAATGTATTGTGGATAACAAATATAAATATAATTAGGAATTGGTACGTTTGAAATTGTCGTTAAAGGTGCAGGAGATTCATTTAAATGTGTAAGATGATCATTTAAGGGCACAGAAGACTCGTATAAAGATTTAGGATATTCATTTAAGGAAGCAGAAGACTCATATAAAAGTGTAGAAGATTCATTTAAGGGTGCAAAAGACTCGTTTAAACAAGACTCATTTAAAAAGGATGGAACAGAAAACCCGTTAAAAAAATCCATTGTTTGCTGTCCAAAAGTTAAACAATTATAAGATCCTTGTTCTTCATTATTCAAATGAATACTCGCATTGTAATTATCACTCTCAACATCAAAGCTTTCTTTTTGAGGATTAGTTTCTTTTTCACCTTTGCAATCTGGAGCCATAATAAAAAATGGACCTGATTTCTTGTAATCTTGTTTAGCTTCATCTGCCAACTTTATATAATGACTTTTAACATGGTTCGGTTCATAATGTTTCCACTTTAAACTTGCTATCTTTGAAATAACCCAAATTGGGTATTTAAAGCCTTGCGATTTAAGTGCCCGATGAAGTACCATTTTATAAGATATAAATGCATTAGGTGTTCTTCCAGGCTTATTATCGTGGGGTGTGACTTTCGCAAGTAGGTCTTTGATCGTTATTTTTGGTGGAAATGGTACATTTATGCTTGTGACGAGTTCAAGAATGTTGATGTTATGATTTGATGATTGATGACATTTTTTAGGGCGAGATAAAACTTTTGGCATATTTACTACTATGATAATAAAAATTGTATGCGTATACTATTTTGTCGCGAATTACAATAAAAATGTTAAAGATTAAAAAATAGATATTATAGAAATTATCTAATGTTTTCGGCGAAAACAGTCCGTGAATAAATGGATGGATAAATGAGTGGGCAATAGAACGCGTTATATAAGAAATCATTAAAGAAATTATTCCGTAAAATTAGTCCATGTAACACATTGCCGTTGTTTGGTCATTAAAGCTTGTAGTCGTATAAGTGATGATCAAGTCTTCTTTTTTGCATATTCTATGCGTGGAGTTACTGTTATTATTCCTTTAGGACTCTGGTTACACTATTCCGATTTATCAAAGTACAAGTTTTAGATGCATCAAGGAATTTCTGTGTTGATATGTACATAATTATTCCGTTGAATATTTGTCCTACGTGAACATTCAATTAATTCTGTTACATTATCACAATTCCGTTGTTTGTTCTTTCATTAACTTCTATTTTTGATTTTTTGCTTAACGTTAAAAAAAAATTAAAAGAAAGAAAAGAAAATCAAAACTACTATATATTTTTTTCCTTATATGTAAATATATTTAAATTTTAAGGTGAAAACCTTCAAAATCATGTGCAATCGGAATGGCAACAATCATGGAATAAAATTATCCCACATAAAATTTTGATCAACTTCAATACAAATTGTTGTAAATTTATAAAAGTTAGAACTGGTGTAAAACTCTAATATACTGAATACAATCGTCCAAAAGCAATGCAATTTTGACTTTATAATCAAGGATAACCATTTTTAGAACGAGGCGAAGGTTTTGACCAATCGTGATTATTTTTATAATAGATTAATATTATCATGTGTTTCTATTTTTAGCAGATATTTTTAGCACAAGTTTCTCAAGTGTGAAAATGACAAATTAATACTTTGATTTTTAAATTCAATCAATATATTGCAGACAAGTATTTGCATTTTAAAGTGTTAGATTTGAGATCTAGGTAGAATATGTATAGTGATATATGTGAATTGTAACTTAATTACAACAAAATAAAGGTTACGACAATTCAAATCAGTGTTGTCACATTTACTATGTTCAAGACTTCTTTAAGCCATGTCTAATGTTCAAACATCCACATGTACAAGAATGTTCACAACATGTTCAAGCTTCAAAAATTAATATATTAATTTTATTTTAAAAAATATGACATTTTTATTTAAAAAGTTAAAATGGGTTATTTTGAATAAAATTTTGAATAATTTTAATTTATTTATTTATTCAAAAAATGTCAAAAAGTGTCCAAACTCATGTTTACAACTGCCGCATGATAAAACTAATTTGGATAACCGATTGAGTGTAATTGAATTGCAATTAATAATACAACTAGTAATAAAACAGCGGCGTTTTATAGGGCTAGAGCATTATGTATTAGGTTCCTAAATTTTAAATATATTGTAAAATTAAAGCCATACAAACTTATATTTCGGAAATTCAAAAAAAAAAATTTTTTTTAATATATCAACAAAGAGAAATCCCCATACATACCATGTGACAAAATAAAGTTGATCGTTAAGTTCTCATTCTAATCTTTTTTCGTATTGATCTATCGTAATGAGTTGAGTACCGCCTAAACGCAAATCAGCAAGATACTGTATAATGTGTAATCGAAAGCATATATAATTGCTTGATTTTATTTCAAAAAGAACCCCATTTATATATAATCGTTATACTTAATTCTCATAGCACAACTGCCAAAACTATCAATGAAACACAAATCAGATCATTATAATTATTAGATAAATCAAAATACAATCTAAAGCAAATGGGGTTTCTATAGTAGAAAAATATGATTTTAAGATAATCAAGTTTATTGTAAATTTGAGTGATGTGCAAGTCTCCTAAAATTTTTTGAGTTTGGTTTCTTTCTACCGCAAATAAATTGATTGTCTTCGGAAGGCGGCTAATAAATTTAGCCAGTTTTGGTAATATCCAATTGAATACATAAATTGTATACAATGTAGCTTTAGGTAGTTATTTCACAAAGCAACATAAATTTTTACTAATCAAAACTATTTTTATTTCATTCATTCATGCTCTTGAAAGATGTCTCACTTTAAGTTTTTATATTGTGCAAAAATGTCATTTCTAAAAATAAAAATAATCCTGTGAGTAAATAATTAAGACGCCACAAATGTTGAGGTTTTGAATCTTCAGTTATAACACGAGACTTGTTGGCCGAATAAACAGATGCAAAGCTAAAATATTCTCAATGAAAGATACTTGTGGAGTCTGTCGAAATTCTAAGCGAAGACTCAAACGAACGCATTAAGAAGGGATGGTCAAAACCTCTTTTAATCATACTTCAAAGAAGTTTTTTAAATGGTATAACGTCGAGAATGGTTGGTTTAGGGATTGGACCCGCGTAGAAATTGTTGCTATATGATTACCCGAAATACATAATAATTTATCCGGATAACCCGGGTAATTTAATAATGCCCGGGTAGAGATTTTCTCAACGGGACCAATCTCTAAGTTGGTTGCAACCTTGTGTGCGAGAAGAACGTAAGGATCACTATAATAAACTTATTTCAAGACCCAAATCATCATAGTTACGCCTCTGGCGAGTTGTCTTATTCTATTTTTCCTAGTTCATATTATCATTATATGTTAAATCTTCCCTGTAACAGTATCCAATTTTTGACCTAGTATAAATTTTAATTCACTAGTTCTTAAGTTATTTCTTTTGTTGTAAGAATATTATAGGCTTCTTAACAAGATCAAGCGCCTACACATAAATCTATCAACTTACCAGTTTCAAATGTAATTATATTCATTCCAAAGTCTATTGTCCACCGTTATATTTAGTGCTTCGAATGGATCGACCTGAATGACTCGAAACTGGCATATTAAAATGATTTTTATTGATTTAAATTACCGTATTTCATTGCATAAACCACCCGGTCTATTACATTTCACCAGAATATTCAATTAGTAAAAAAAAGTAAAAAAATCACGTGGGTCTACTATCATAAGAGAACGACCCTAGCGTCGCCCTCAAAAAATGGTAGCCGGACAGATCTGCCGGGTACATGTTATTATGTGATTCGGATTT